GAGACCCATTCACAGCATGAGGGGCTTTCCCTGTTCCTGTGTGTTTGTTTGCTCTCAAAGACCTCCATGAAAGGTTACAAACACCAGTTACCAGCTGAGAGCGCTTCAAATCCCAGGGACAAATACCATCTAAATTGCTTGAGGGATTTTTTTTGCCTTCTGTGCTTTTTCAAATGTCTTCTAGAATAGTTTAGACTCCAGGAAAAGAGGTAATTTAAAGCTAGCGGGGAGGGCCTCCCCGGTGGCGCAGCGGTTTGAGCACTGGGTTGCAAAGCTGCCCGCGGCCTCTGCGGCGCCGGTTCGATCCCCAGCTGCTCCCCGGCCACCAGAGGAGGGTCCCACATGGCACATAGACCTCTCCTGCCGCCCGCTGCTACCCTCAGCAGTGTACTTCGGTCCTTCTGCCTGCTCTGCTCCCCGCTCTGGCTCTGGTGAATTCTCTCACCCTCCCGCGCTTCTGACTGTACCCAGTGCATGTATAAAACAAACAAACAAATAATAAATAAATAAATAAATAAGACATGCCTCTAGAAAATTTAAAAATAAATAAATAAATAAATAAAGCTAGCGGGGAAACCTGCGTTCTATGTGATCCTTGATGTATGTTTCTCTACATATTTAGGTTGGGGCCAACAGACTACTAGTTAGCCTGACACTAGAATTGTGTATTTTGAATGTCTAAAAAAAAAAGATTCCTTATATATATGTACATATTATTTATTTATATCATTATATTATTTATATAAATTTACATATATGTGATATATATATATCAAGGCCTATTTAAACTCCAGCATTTTGTAGCATTTCCTCAATTCCTTCTTCCCACCTGTTTCAAATCCGATAAAAGGACACAAAATAGCATTTCCTGAATTGCAGGCTCTTTCTGGATTGTTTTACTCTTTTTCATTAAATCAAAGTCTTCGCTGTCATTTGAACTCAAATGTTCTTTCGTGCCGATGGCTGAATCTTCCTGGTGACTACGGCAATTTCAAAAAGAACAAGAGAGGGAGGAAGAACTTTGTTTTGGGGGTGTTTCTGGAAAGCGCATCTCCCCCGCACTGGCACAGCATCGGGCCCACCTCTCCGGAGGCCAGAGGTCCAAAGCTGCTCAGTGCCTTTAAAATCATGTGGCGGGAATAGTTAGTATAATCCAACCTGGCAGTCTTCATGCCAAGGCAATCATAAAATGTGCCTTTTTGAATATAAGAAAGTGAAAATCAAAATCAACAAAAAACTATGAACCAGAGACACTTTTTGGGGGGTGGGGGGGGGAGGGGAAGGATTGGGGTCAGAATGGGGCGTTTGCAATTGTATGGGGGAATATAAAAATAAAATTTAATATTTAAAAAAAAAAAATAAAAAAATAAAGACAAAAAAAAAAAATAAATAAAATGTGCCTTTTGCCATCTGTCTCCGGGGAAGGGCCTCAGGGGGCCGCAGCGCTCATGCCCGGGGCCAGATGAATCCAGGCAGAGGATTCACGGCCCCCTGGGTGCGCAGACGCAGCATTACTCACTAAATTCGGCCCCAGCCACCTCTTTGTGCCTCCAGATGTTTCCACTGGACTGACCTTAATAGGCAAGGTGGGTTGGGTCCCCAGCCCCCAGGGCCGTCCTTTCCAGCAGGGATGGGCCAGTCAGGACAGTGGATCCGTAGGGGAAGTCGCCTCGGGCATGGAAGCTCCCAGAACATTAGCTTCCCCACCTGACAAGGGGGGATCTTAAAGGAATCTCCCTGGTAGGGTTTGAGGAGGGTTAAATCTGGTCTGATGCGCCATAAGTGGTGGTTCTTGGTCTCCTTCCCTGAAAGGTGATTTTCTCCAGCCTTCGCCATTTCACATTCGCTATCAGCGGACCCGAGCAGAACAGATGCTTTCACGTCTGGTTTCTTTCACTTAACACTGAACCCTGAAATTCACTGATGTTCTGTATACCATGGTAATGAGTCCCGTCCCCTGTGTGCGCGCATGGAGCTGACGAGGCTGTCATTGCTTTGGGCCTATGCACCTGATCACCCCTAGAGGATGATGCTCCTGCCAGCCACGGTGCCAGGGGAAGGGCCTCAGGTGTGCGCTCAGGTGTGCACACTCAGGTGTGCGCGCTCAGGTGTGTACATGGGGGAAGGGGAGCTAAATCTTTTTTTGAGGGAAATTAAGAACTTGGAGTTCATTGAACAGAGCCCATGTGCTCCGCTCCCCTCTCTGCTGTGCTCAGCCCCTCCTGGCGGCTTCTTCACCCCAAGAGTGCACAGATCTCCATCACCAACACAGCTTCTGGCTCCTTGGCTGGCTTTTTCCTTCCACCTGCATTCTTATCTTAACCCTCTTCTCTCCCCTGATCTTAGGTGTCAACGCGCGGCCCGGGAGCCCCAGCACCACCTGCAGCTTGTAGAGAAACACACCCTGCCCCGGCCCAGGCCCTCGGGACCAGAAGCCACATTTTACACGTCCCCAGGACGTGTTTGCACCTTAAATGTTAAGAAGCATTTCTCTAGGACGAAAATTATTCTAAAGTGGACACCCCCGGGGCCACATACTGCAGGTTTCACCCCATCTTTCCGACAGCCAACTGGACGACTCCACATGGTAGATGGCCCAGCAGCTCCTCCTCCCAGGCCAGACCCCGCTCACCTCTTGCACTCTGCGGCCGCAACCCTCTCTGCCTTTGCTACCACGACCAGCAGGCTCATCGGGGTCAGGAAGCCAATGTAGGTGTGCCCAGAGACCAGACAGGTAGTGTCCATGATGGGGGCGGGCTGGGTGAGGACGGGTTGACCCAGGAGGGCCTGCTCTAGTGGGGGAGCAGCTGCCTGCATGGGGGAGCCTGGTTCCAAGGCCCATTGTTTATGTGACGATTTTATTGTAGCAGGAAATTCAAAACGATATTTTTTGTAACTCTGGGAGTCCTGTCTGCTCAGGATGAATCTGGCCTGTGCTTTGAACCAAGTCACCTTTGGCTTCCCCTCCCCCTTCACCATCATGTCTCCAGTTAAGACCTATGCCTCTCTCCTCTTCAAGTCTTAGCTTATTTTTCTTTCTTTTGTTCCGCCACCTGGCTCCGCTCACCAAGCAAAAGCTGTAACATCTGGTACCCCTGCCTCCATCTCTGTCAGAGATGTTTGTCAAACTCACCTAACAACTGCCGCAGGAGCTTAAAACACGGTTGCAAATGTGTGTCACTAGAATCCAAACCCTTTAGAGACCGCACCCCCACCCCTCGGCTCCCAGCTCTCAAAATCCTCTCCAATGGCCTCTCCTCCCGGTTAGTCCTGATTCTGACTAGAGGCTTAAGGCCTGGACAAGGGTAGTGGTGTTGCAGAGAGGAGAGGTATTGAAAAATTAAAGACTGCAGCACACAGGCAGCTCATTAACAGCCCAGTGCGTCTGCAAGAGCAAATTCTGTGCTGCCTGGTTCCTGTCAGGCCAAGATGTGGCCGATTTCCCACCCGCTAAACTGGCAGCCTGAGGGTCAAATTTGTACAAATCTTTCATCTGGCTTGCATTGCTTAAAAACAAAAACACTGTCTAAAAAGTTATTATACATAAAAACCAGGATCATTATGGTAAAAAAAAAAAAACAAAAACACAGCTGGTGACAAATCCAGGTGAAAATATCTACGTGACAACTAACAGGTCGAGTTGAGCGCAAGGTGCTTCTTCACTTTGCCCGATGAATGTATAATTAATAACAGGCTGGTGGACACCTTAGAAATGAAGTAAAATGGGGATCAAACACTTCTGGGACCCTAGAACTTCAAAGGTAAATTAAGAGAAACAAGGTATAAAGTGGGGAATGAAGGGCGCACCTCCCTGCTCCACTCTTGTGTTCTGTGTTAGGCAACTGCTAAGTGTGCACAGTTAAGCCCCAGCTATGTAATTCCGCTTCCAGCACAAACAGGTGAGCCGTCTCGGGCATTTCTACATGCTGAACTCCAGCCACCCCTCGGCCCGCAGGTGCATTCCCCCTCCAGACCTGCCCGTCCAGGACGCGCCGGGAGACCCGCCTGCAGGACAAACTCTGGATCCCGGTTGGGATGGCCCATGGGGGCCACCAGCTGGATTTGGAGGGAAAATGGCATCCACCCCAGATGAAGGCAGCCCTTCCGGAGGACCCCCAGGGGTGGCCGCTCCCCTGACCGCCACCCCTTCATCTCAGCTCACACCCGAGGGTGTGATCTGCTGCACGCCCCGAGTCTCCGTCTCCAGCTGAACACTAAATGCATGAGGGGGAAAACCCTCGTCAACCTCATTTTCTGGAACTTCAACATCACTATTTGGAAAAATTTGGCAACTTGAAGTCTGCCTATATGTTACGAAGAATTTTAGAATTCTATCTTCTATCTTGAAGGCTGAATTGTTTCGAAACACTTAACCAAAAAAAGGGTTTCATTGCAAAGGTGACAGTGACATTTTCTGCATAACGGCGGGTATTAGCCCCGTGATGAGGCTCCTCTTCCCGGCGCGCCTCCCGCACCCTGGCCAGCAGCGCCATCTGCTGGGGCTGCACAGCCAGGCCCGCCCGGCCGAGGCAGGCCGCTGGGGAGGCCAGAGGGACAACTGCGGGTCAACAGGGTCTTTAAGAAAAAAGCTTTATTTTAAAGTAAATAGCCTGGCGGCTTCCCCATCATTCTCAAAGCAGACCCCAATTAATTGCAAAGCACTGAACAAACCTTCTTTCCACAGCGCCACTGCGGGATTCTAGGGCGCGCCCTCGCTCAGCCTCGCCCGAGGTCACCCCGAGTGTCACCCCGCTCCTTCGCCGCAGCCAGGGAGCTGCCCTCTGCGGGAGACACGCGGGCTCCGTGTTTACACAGGCCGCCATACGCAGGGAAAGAAAACAGACACCTGCTTTCCACGGTGTGCGGCAGTTTCAGTGTGAACCCAGAAACAGGCGAGGCGGCCTGGCTCCTTCTGCAGCGCTGGCACCACCGCCCAGGCAGCCCCCCAGGCGCACCCCCACCCCACGCGACCTCCAGGTCCTCAGAAACGGGACGCAACGTCTTCTAAATGACAGCATGGAAACGCGGAGGATTGCTGAACCGATTTTAATAACATGACATAAAGCCCCTGCCCTTGAGTAACTGTGACGCAAAATACACAAGGAACACTGTCTTTTAAAAAATACAAAATAAATAAGCAGGATGTCAAAATAGGCAAGTTTCCATTAAATAAAATGAGTTTTTTAAAAAGAAAGTTTACTTTCCATATCATTTGAAGAAGGGAAATTATCATTTTAAACAATATTCAAGTTTACTAAACAAATTTAAAAAGTATTAAAAAAATGTTTAACTTTCATCAGCTTCAAGGTTTATGTTGCTCCCAAATTTTGCATATAACTGAACTTTCAAATCTGCTAACACCCGCTGAATTGATTCCACTCTGGATTCTAAGGCGTCAATTTCTTCTTGCAAATTTTTCTGGGGAAAAAAAAAGTTTAAATTAATGTATTCAATTGGATGATTTCTGAGCATCTGTGACTGAAATAACATTTGGGAGAATTTTAGGTCAAGTAGTTTCTAAACTTGGACGGGGAGCAAAATTACACTAATAAATATATCTAAACCAAAGTGAGAATGTGAGCACTTTTAATTCATGGCCTGTATGTGCTTATCACCGAATACATCAACCTTATTTTCTCTATTTGTGCTGACTTAAAAAATATTATATAAAGAAAATCCTTACAGACAATATTCCAATAAAAAAAGAACCACACAGGGGCCTTCCCTGGTGGTGCAGCAGTTGAGCGCTGGGTTGCGAAGCTGCCCGCAGCCTCTGCAGCACCAGTTCGATCCCCGGCCACTGGGTGAGGGTCCCACATGGCGCGCAGACCTCTCCTGCCACCCGCTGCTCCCCTCAGCAGTGTACTTCGTCAGTCTGCCTGTTCTGCTCTCCGCTCTGACCCTGGTGAATTCTCTTGCCCTCCTGCGCTTCTGAGTGTACCCAGTGCTTGTATAAATAAATAAATCTTAAAAATAAAAATAAACAACAACCACACAAACACATCTGGAGAACATTCATCACAGGCCTGTCTTCTGACAGTTCTCCCAACTTCCCACAAAAATAACTATGAAGCAGAAGAAATTCACAGTGCCACCAATAATTAAGAAAAACAATTTATCATCACGAAAACCGGGCAGGGCTCTTCCCTAACTCCAGGCCCTGAGCAGCGGCGGAGGGTGGAGGGCAGGGCTGTACCCACACGAAAGGCACGAAAGAAGTTCCTTCTGGCTAGGCTCGAAAACAGGCTTTTTCTAACATGACAAAGAAAATATGACACCACCCAAATGGCACACCCACCAGTACCCAGGAAAAAAACAGTCCTGAGAAAGTTATTCCGTTGGCAATCCGGGCTGCCTTCACAGAGCCGGGCCAGCATGCCGGGTCGCCCGGGAACTTGCAGAAACTCTGGGGCACCGCGCAGGCCTTGAATTTGAAATTCTTGGGCTAAGGCCCATTGATCTGAATTTCTAAGAACCCTGTAGGTGACATGTGCTCAAAGTTCGAGAACCACGGGTATAAAGACAAGAAAAAAGAGCTAAGCTGTAGAGCTACTAAAGAGGAGATGAAATGTCTATACCCAGAAAACTCAGGAGTAGAATTACAACACACGAGGAAATTATTTTATAGCCACAAAATTCCATCACAATCACACTTTTCTTAACCCCCACAAGGCCCCCCCGACCTCGCCACACGGCCATTCTCCTACAGCGGGATGGATGGACCTACCCCTAGTCGCCGTTAGGGTTCAGCCAAGTCCGGCTTGCCCAGGACCGTGTGAGAACCCACTACACGTGACCTAGCGACATATAACTACACATCCTTGTAACGACACAAATCCTAACTTGAGAGTGAGAGCTCAGCCTCCCGGGAGGACTGGAGGTACCTTTGCTTCTTCTAACATGTCTTGTGTTTCTTCTTGAGAATGACTAATGAACACATCGCCGATTTGATAAGGTATCATTAGGCAGTCGTCATCCGCAAGCATGATGTCCTCACAGGCATCTTCTAAATTCTGTAGTTGTTTCTAGAAAGGCAAAAGTCACCAGCCATGAGAAGTGTCTTTGACACAGGTAAAGGAAAAACCCCTTTTAATTTGGAGACAACAACATTCTGAGGGGCCCGTCACAAAGGCGTCGTCCCACTAACATAAGAACTGCAGACATTTCATCAGGATGCGCTCAGGAGTTGGTAACAAAACACAGCAAACGTGTTTCTCAGCCTGGTTTGACGGTAGCAAAGGATGACTTAAATGCCACTGATCAAATGTACTTGAACCTCATCCCAGGAGAGTTGTGGGGGACTGGGCTCTGATATGGGGTGGGGGAGCCTAGGCTTCTGAGTCTGAGAGGTCACTTCTAGCGACAACAGCAGTTCTGTCCCAGCCACACCCTCGGAGACGGGCTTCTGGGACCTGCTCCCGGAACCTTAGCCCAGACTTGCGCCCTCACTCTGTAATTACCTCACATCCCTTCAAAATGTCTTTCTTCTTAAACTAACTAGTGTGGGTTATGTCGCTGGCAACAACAGGACGAGAGAGAGACAAGAGGTGCACGTTTTCCATACCTTTTTTACGTCTATTTCTTCCTTTAGCTCTGTGATTCTACTTGTGTTCCGGGCAAATTTGTTTATCTTTTGCTGGTCTTCAAAAGTAACATTGACATCTTCTGCAGCCTGGAAAAAAAAGATGTAAAATTGTTGTGGAATTAATTTCGGTGGGGAGGTTACAGGTTAGCTTTTTAGGTAACTCTGAAATAAACTATCTGCCGTTGTGTAGTGGAAAAGCACGAGAAGAGAAAATCTCAAACAGGCCATATTTTTTGCTACATGAGATTAATTTTTTTTCATAAATCTATAATCTTCTTATAATCTATGGAATAATGCCTGAGCTAATAAAACATTTCAAATATACACAGTCAAGAGTAAGTCCTGAATCAAGCCAGCCAACTTCTAGCCTACAACAGATCTCTCAGCAGCATCAAACACTATCAAATCAACCCAGGAACCAAGAGCGACGTGGTCCATAATACTGGCGACGTTTCCTGCCACGTTATACTCAGCGAGTTACACTTGCTTAAGCCACCGGAAGTGTGACAGCTTCTAGAGCCTGTTGACACGTCTTAATTATGAGTAAGGCGCAGCTTACTATAACATAACAAAAACTAAGGTTTACAAATATTTAACGTGATTAAATTTGCAAATAAAGCCAGAGTGCCTGGATGCCATAAAGCATGAAATCACAGCAGGAACAGCTAACACTTGCTGATGTCTTATGTGTGCCAAGAGCTCAGTGCTTTATCATCTCTACTCTCTTTCACTCACTCTTGGTAAACAGGCTCGTCAATACTAGTTTGCAGATGGAGAAAGTGGCACAGAGAGTTTAAGTAATGTGCCCAAGGCCACACAGCCAGGAAGAGGAGCTTGCGATTTCAACCCAAGCAGTCGGGCTCCGGAGTCCCAAGAGGTCCAAAAGTTGTTGGAAATTAAATGCCAAAGTGCGTGTGTGTTTGGGGGGGGGGGGGTGTATGTGTGTGTGTGTGTGTGTGTGTGTGTGTGTGTGCGTGTGTTTTGGGGGGGCATACACGTAAGGGAGACTCAGCAGGATGTCCTTAACTTTCAACTGATTCCCAAGGGGGCCTACATACAAAGAAACTGAAAAGTAAACACCAGGCTCTCCTTCGAGTCTCCCCTCACGTGAAAAACAGCACGAGAGGCCTTGTCTACAGCGGCAGGAGAAAGGATCGACTCTTCAGGGGTTCCTTCAGGGGTCCTGGCCGGCAGTAGCCACACACCCACCACAGGCACCACCCGGCTGTCACCTGTACGCCTGGCCAACGACGTGGCTTCACACCCTTTCTTCCCCACAGGCGGAGAGGCGCCACAGGCCGAGACCCCAGCCTCCCCTGGCCCGGCCCCCATCAGCCCCTGGACAGCTTCACAGGCATCAGGCCCGGCCACAGGGGACTGAGGATAACCTGAAAATGCCCTTTTGTGGATTAAAGGGTGTGATTTTGGTAAGAAAGCTGGAAACACTGAGTGACACCCCAGAAACCAGGGGGCAGGTGACTCGGCGTTCGGTTACACTGTCTCCGGCAGTCCCTTAGCTAATGGGGAACAGAACTCTAGACCTCTGCCTGCCCGCAGAACTTCAAAAGCGAGCCCCTGGCAGCCTAAATGTCCTTAAGGGAGCGTCTGTCACTGAGGCTTCGCCAGGAACTCGACAGCCCTCGGCAGAGGCTCACCTGCCTGAGGCTCAACCACGGTCTCTGCCTTGAATCTGAACCAACAGTCTCTAAGAAGCAGAGAGGTTGCAAGCCACTCTCCATCTCCCCAGAGCAGCTTTTCCTGGGGCAGCCCCCCAGGTGGTGGCACCACCCTGCTCCTGGACGCTGGGGTTCACTTCCTGGTGGCTTTCTGGCTGGGGCTACGGTTAAGGTTGCACGTCGGCTGGAGCGTGGCCCCCAGAGACCCGCCGTCTACTACAGAAGCAAGATGTCAGCACCTCTGGGGCTGCGGCAGTGGCTCCTGTTACTCTCACAGCTCTAGAAGAGCCTTTCTCTAGCCGAAGCTGCACTTTGGCAGGGAGGAAGTAGTTCTTAACCGGCAGGCTAGGAACTGAGAGGTTCATTTAGCCCTGGAATTGTCCTCGTGGAGTACATGTGCACTCTTCTGGAAAGGTCTATAGCTTCCACTGGATTCTTTACAGAACCACATGCCCGGAGGTGAGCAAGGCAGCTCTGAGGGCAGCCTGCGGCAGTTGGCTGGTGCTCGCCGAGGACTGGACTGGAGAGGAAGCCAGGACTGGAGAGGAAGGAGCGGCTTTGCAGGATCAGATCCCGCAGCACAGAGGGGGAGCTAGCAAGAATGGGCTCAAATCCCAGTGAACAGGAGCCCCAGCAGATGAGTCCATCCTCCAGTCACCCCAGGTTTGCCACCTGCAAAACAAGGATGCAGAACCCCACCTGGCGGGGTGATAAAATGAGCACCCAGCTGAATGCCTGGGGATGGAGTCACCTTTCAATAAATGACAGCAAGAGCTTCCTCTCCTGAGTAATGTTCACCAAAAATCACGACACAGGCTCACCTAGAAGGGAGTTCTGCTCATCGAAAAGCAACAGGACGGCAGACTCCAGATGGAACTGGAATTCCTGGCCCCTAATGGCCCCATTTCCTGAGAATTACTAACATCTCAGGTGATAATGGGAAGCACCTGACCCCAGAACCAGAAGCCTCACAGCCCACACTGAGTTTGGGGACGACCAGCAGAACCCAGGCTGACAGTTGGGTCCCTCATTGTTCCAAAAGCCAGAGAAGGGAACTGGCCATTTTCATTCTGCTTTTATTTTTTGTTTCTTAACGGTATCCACCAAGTCTCCACCGCATAATTTTTTTTGTGTATTTTTCTCCACTTCCCATTCCTAGTATTCATTTAACAATTATCTAGTATTTTCCACGTGAAAACACTTCCCAGGAAGAGGACCATATGCTGAACCTTGGGAATGCAGGCAAGTTACATTCTGGAGGCGCAAGTAAGTAAAAAGCAAGCAGAACACGAGAATCTAGATCTGTAGTGGTGGAAGGAGCTCAGTGCTGAAGGCATAGGGGGGATGAGGAGGGAGGAGCGGTGAGAGATGGCATCTCCGAGGAGGGGACACCTCTACTCAGGATGACCCGAAATAAACAGTCCCCCTCAAGGCCAACAACCAAAGCAGAACTTTGGAGATTAGAGGATCGAATATCTCACTAAACATTCTCCCCAGAAAAGCTGTGACCAATTGCAGGTATGACATGTTATAAACATCCATTAAACTCAAAGGACCCCCAAGTTACTCCCATTTACTGGTACCCCACATTTCCTCCTAGGCGGGCAGAGGGGGAACATGGGCCTGCAGCTGCCCTACAGGAACTGCTGACTGCACCGCAGCTTCCACCGGAGGACGCGGCGTTTACCATGCATATAGGCAGATAAAGAAGAAAGAACACCCTGACTGTTCTCTGACCATCGAGGGGCCAGGGCTCAACCTCTAGGCCTGATTCTCTGCTCTCCTGGCTTTCCCTTCAATAGAGGCTGTCCAGTCTGGGCGGGAGGTGCTCCCTCTCTGGATGTCTCTCTCCCTTTCCAACTTTCTCTTCCTCTTTGTTCTCAAACAGGCCTCATGCCAGCCTTCACTTCATGCCCACCTCTGTCACGGATCCTCCCAGGGCTGCACTGTCATCTGTCAAAGCGGGTGGGCCACAAAGACCGTCCCACACAGAGGGTCCAATTTAAATACAAAAGAGAGGCCAGGTGCACCTCACAGATTCATAGATTCTCTGAATCCATGGCCCTAAACCCCACTCCGCTACTCAAGAATGTGTGGATGACAGACCCAGACAGACAGCACCGTGGCTGGCAGGAGGCTTCCCCACCTCCACTCTCCCACCTTGGGCCCAGGGAGAGAGCCAGGCCCCCTGTGCAAGGAGATGGTGGCTTAAAGGATGCACGAGGGGAGAGTAAGAAAGCAGAAGCTGCACGTGCTCAGGTGGCCTTCGAAGTGGAGTGAAAGTAAACAAGCCCAGCACCAGGAAGGCGAATCCCTGCAAGGGGCGGCACCGGGGGAGTAAACACGCAGGCCCTGGGGCGCGAATGCCCCAGGAGCATTTAAACCCTGGCCTCGCGGGTTTCAGTTTCCTCTTCTGTAAAGCAAGGATGGAAAACACTATCTCCCTTAAAAGGAAGATAAAATTAAAACAACGTGCACAGTGTGCTTGGCACACAGTAATCATCGGGGGTCATCACATCTTCACCCCTCGCCGCTGCGTTTTCCTCCACCGAGACCTCCCCAAGGGTAACAGGGTGGTCCCCAGGAAAGGGGGAGGTTGCGGGGTTTGGGCTGCCCCTAACACTAGCACGTGGGGTGCAGGGCGGCTGCGCGGGCCCCGCAGGGCGAGGTGCGCCCGGGCACCGGCTGAGTCACCTGGGGGACACCGTCCTGGGGGTCTAAGTTCCCCCATCGGTAGAGTGGGGAGCTCCCCAGCTGCTCCCTAAGCTCTTGGGAGGCTGTGAGATGAGGAGGCGTGGGGCGCTGGCCGGTTTCTGACCTCAGGACCTCAGGCTCGGCCTCGCGGGCGCCGGGCGGGCCGCGCCGATGGGGAGTGTGCGGGGGTCGGGCCGGGTCTGTGGGGTCCGGGCCGCGCCGCCCCCCGCCCCGTGTGACCTTGGGCGGTGACTCCCCCTCTCTGGCCTCCGGCGCCCACCTGCGCAGGGCGGGCCCGCAGCGCCCACGCTGGCGCCGAGGGGGGCGGGAGGAGACGCCCCGGGAGGCCCCTGACGACCCGCCGCGGCCGCGGGGCCTCTGAGGCGCGCCGCCCCGAAGTCCCGGCCCGGGCCGTGGGGTCCCCCGGGCCCCCCGCGGCACCGCGAACGGCGGCCCAGAGCCACCCGAGGCCCCGGCCCGGCGCCCGGGGGACGCCTCGGACCCAGCGCCGCCAGGCCTCACGGCCGGGCCGCCCTCCGCGCCCGGGACCCGCCCGCCCGCGCCCCGGCCCCGGCCCCGGCCCCGGCCCCGGCCCCGCCCCGGCCCGCGCCGCTCACCGCCTTCTTCATGGTGGCCGCCATCTTGGGACTGCACCAGGGCGCGGGCGGGGGGCGCGGCGGCGCCTGGTCCCCGCGGCCCGCGCGAGCCCCGCCGGCCCAGGACGCCCGCGCGGCGCCGCCCGAGCCCCGCCCGAGCGCCCCGCCTTCCCCCCGCGGCGCTCGGGGGCCGGGGCGCCCCACGTGCGGGGCTCGGGGAGGAGGCGCCCCCCGCAGCACTTGGTACCGGCCAATTAAAGGGCCAGGCGCGTCCCGGCGCCGACCGGAGCGCGCGGCAGCGGCTGCAGGGCGGCCCCGCGGGCGGCAGGGGGCGCTCTGCGCGGGGCGGGGCTCGCGGGCTCCCCCAGCGCGGGGGGAGGGGAGCTGGTACCCGCAGGGAGCTGCACTTATGAACCCCGCAAACTCAGAGCATCCTAGAAGAGCATGCCTGTGACTTCATCTCTTCAACGATGACCCTGAGCCCAGCTGTGCACGCGGACGCTTGTGCCTCCCGGTTCCTTCATTGTGGGTTCAGGAGCCCCCTGGACTCTTAAAAATGATGGAGGGCCTCAAAGAACTTGTTTCTCCACGCGATAGCTGAGACACAGGGCAAGCTAGGAATTAGGCAGTTTTAGGGACACTGCAGGAGGGGACCTCGGAGAATTGAGGAAGGCTTCAGAGATAAGGGCAGCAAGAGGAGTGTAACCAATTCCACTAGGAAAAACACACATCCCAGGACCCAGGACAACATTGTTAACGCTGGTCCTGGTTTCCTTCAGGTGGTAAAGGGAGGCAGAGACTGGAGAAATGGAGAGTGGTTTAATTTATGGACACATTAGAAGGGCAGCTGTTTAACTTCAATGCAGGGATGCCCATCCGGAGGACTGGGCCATAAAGATAAAGATGCAACAAATGGGGAAAGAGAAAGCTGTTAGATAAGGAATGTGAAGATCCCGCACTCAGGAGCAAATTAAGGGAGACAGCAGAGAACTAACCCATCACAAAGAGCCTGGTGGAGCTTTAGAATAATGAGGGAAGAAGGTCTATATTCCCTGAGACACGTCTCCACTTTGGCTTCCTTGCCCTCCCAGGCCTGGTTCCCTGGCCTGGGAGTCCCACTTTATTTCTGCTCTTTTTCTCCTCAATAAACTTTTTCTTTCTCTAAACAAACCTGCCTCTTCTCGTTTGCTTGCCTGAGCGTCTGCGAAGTTCCTGCTGCGGCTTCGTGAGACACCAACCCGTGGGGGTCTAGTGGCCGGGGCTCAGCGCTGCCCCTGCAGCCTGGGATCTGTTCCTGGCTGGGAGACTAGGCCTGACAATTCCGGTATCATAGCCATTGAGATTTACTGTAATTGAAATTAAAGCTGGGAAATTTAAAAGCGTGTTTATTTATTAATATATTTAAAATAGCACATGCCTACTGGCAACATCTTAAAAGTATTTTTTCCAAGATGAAAAATAGAATAGAATAGCATCATTTTGTTATAGGACAGGGAGAGGGGCAGCCCAAACCCCGCAAACCTGCCTATTCTAAATGGGTTCTGCCATCCGCCGCATCAACACAAAACATAGGAGACTTTAAGGGGAAGGAACTTTAATAAAACTAGGAAACAATACAGGTAAGGCAAAGAGTCTAGTTTCTAGTTTCTAGTCTAGTTTCTAAATGAAGCACCCAGAGTTACCCGTCCCCTTGTGGGTAAAAGTCCATCCAAATGGGATTGGCCCAGAGCAAGGCCCCAAAGCCTGCCATGAGTCTAAAGCACCTTCCAGTGGGGACCCACAGCAAAGGGTCAGAAACAATCAGACAAGCCCAGAAGGAAAAGAGCAAAATCAACATCAAGATAAAAGCTGCCATTGTCACCTCCCCACGGGTCTCACCCACATCTGTGTCACCCCGTCCACGACCAAAAGACAAGCGCAGTTTCTTCACGTGTCTCTAGGCTCCATGCGCCTCCTCCAGGTCTCCTGGCTCCATCCTGCTTCCTTCCTCAGTCTCTTCTGCAGCTTCTCCTCTTCCTGCTCAGCTCCACCCTCCCTTGGGAGGGGCAGGGAACCTCCCCCTTTCCTGGGGACCACCCTGTTACAGTTTTACAATCTTGCAACTCTCTTTAATGTCTGGCGTCATGGAAGGGTAGATTCTCCTATCTGCCGCATTCATCTCTTGTGAATTGTTCAGTTATTATGTATGAGCCAAATCTGTCCCATGTCGTTATGTGCTTGCAAAAGGAGGGCCCTGGTGCCTCCCCTGCACAGCTCTCTGGGACCACAAGGGTCCTGAAAAGCTCACAGAGGTGCAAGGGTCCCCGTTTGAGAGCTGCTGTAAATAATAAGGGGGAACCTTCTCAGAGCCCCAATTTCCTCTTTGGTGAAATTGTTATAGGGCTACCCCGATACAAAACGGGGTGCCTGACTGTGGGTCCTCACCCGCGCGCTTGAAAGGACTTATCAATGCTCTACTGCAGGCACACGTGAAAGGTTCATAAAAGGTTTATTTACAAGGGAAGGGGAAATGAGGAAATGTACAGCTCAGGGAGAAAAGTGGGAGACAAAAGTTTAAATGCGTCCTACCCGATCCGCCGATCTGGAAACCCAAATGGCACTCAGAGCTGGCCGCAAGCCAGGAGCCATGAAGCCAGGAGGCGAGCGACAGAGCGAGCCCACCCAAGGCCCACGTGTTTGGTTTTTTATACCAACCTGGCTGCTGAACTCCACCCTGAGGTCCCAGCCACCTTCACTTTGGTGGTGACGGGATTTGTCTTTCCCAGTGTCCTGATGGCTTTGGTCTGGAGTGGGAGTGGCATCCACAAAGCCTGTATGGGATTAGCTCAGGACATCCTTTCCCCCTAACAAAATGAGGGTAATGGGACCTTTCTAGCTTCCTCTGCTTTCTCTGCCAAAGCACTCAGCTCTCTGAGGCCCTGCCTGTGCTGGCAGGTTCTGGGCTCCAGACACCAAGCCCTTTGTTTTAGGATTTCACAGTGTGTAGCTCATAGGTACTCCATACACATCTGTTGAGTGAAAGTGAGTGGTCTCAGGGTTAAATATCTGCGATGGAAGCTTTGAGTAGAAAATTTGGGGGGCCTCCCTGGTGGCACAAGGGGTTGAGTACAGCACTGTGAAGCAGTCCGCAGCCTCTGCAGCAGGAATTTGATCCCCTGGCCAGCCAGGAAGCAACCCACATGGTGCAGCAGACCTCTCCTGCCTCCCCGCTGCTCCCCTCAGCAGTGTATTTCAGTCAATCTGCCTGTTCTGTTCCCCGCTCTGTCTCTAGTGAATCCTCTCCCCCCCCCAGCCCCCCACACCTCTGGCCTGCACCCCAACTCTTTTGTGCATAAATAAATCTTTTTAAAAAAAAGAAAATTTGGGAAGGTAGCATCACATGACCAGAAATTGGAGGTGGGAGACAGATGATCAACATCACCATGCAATTAGCAAATAGAAATGAAGAATCCTCAGGCCCAGCTGGAAATGAGATGTGGGGCAAGTCAGGCATTCCAAAGGGCTGTTAGAGAAAACACCCTACGGCCAGGCCCAGAGGTGGGGATATATGGAGATTGAGGACCATTAGAGAGAGCCAGTGGTCCTTTCAAATCAACCAGGTCACACCCTAGAAGTAATCTG